CTACGACTGACTATGTACACCAGCATATTTACTATTTATTTAGAAAACAAAATTTCCCATTGATATATTTTTATGGAAACTTTTTTCTTTTTTAAGATCTGTGGCAGTAGGTTTTATCTTTCAAATGTGATTTTATGAGGTTTTGGCTTACCTTATTTTGTGCCTTTGCCAATGCTTCTTTCTCTTTTTGTTTTCTTGACTGTGTCTTCTGCTGAATAAGCTTCACAATACATTTGATGCAGATTGTTTTGAAAATTAATAAAACCTATAGGAACTTCAAGTTGCTGGAACCCCTGTTGGTCTTCAGTAGAACAGGTGTTTTTAAATAATCATGTATATTTAGACCAAAGATGTGAAGATTTAATGCCACAGCACAGCTGGTGTTAATTACTGTGATGGAGGCAGACTGACTTGTACACAAAAAGAAGTTGTAACAGCGAAAAGCTGCTTTTATTAAAGGTAAATCTAAACAAAGTGCTAAATCTGTTTTTGATGCACTGACCGTTGTTAGTTTTATTGGGATTGATTTGTTTATTTTCATAGTCATATCTACCATTCATCTCTGAAATGTGCAAATTTTCTTGCTGCTACAGTATTTGGTGTTATGTGTACTTGTATGCAAAGTCATTTATTTATCTATTTCGTTATCTATGCTGTGATGAAATATTAAATAAACTATGATAAAAGCTTTTTTAAGCTGTTTTGTGTTTTAATTTATGTTGAAAATTTTGAATTTGTAACTGCTCYAACTCAGGAACCTGGACATACACTGGACCTTGTCATATCAAACGGCATTTCTGTTTCTAATCTTGTTATTGGTGATGCCWTTTTCTCAGACCACATGCCGGTTTTATTCAGTTTCACGACRTCACGAGGATCATGAAATTTTGGAGACATTTCAGTCCGGTTTCAGATCTCATCACAGCCTTGAGTCTGCTCTGTTGAAGGTGTTTAATGACATCTTCTTAGCTCTAGACTCTGGTGAATCTATCCTTGTGCTATTAGACCTCACTCCGGCATTTSACACTGTTGATCATAACATCCTCATTTCCAGGCTGTAGAAAGAGGTGGGTATCACAGGCTCAGCCCTCAGTTGGTTCAAGTCATACCTTTCGGACAGACAGTTCTGTGTTAACATCAAGGACTTCATGTCCTCATCKGCACCATTTCAATGGGGAGTACCACAGGGATCTATTTTGGGACCCCTTCTCTTTTCACTACCTAAGTTGGTACAGTTTTCCGTAAACGTGGCTGTCCGTTTCACCTTTATGCAGACAACTGTCAAATTTACTTTCCCCTGAAACAGGCTGGTCCATACTACATCGAACCGCTTCTTGACTGCCTGGCCGACATCAGAGATTGGATGACTTTAAACTTTAATGAAGAGAAAACAGAAGTCATTCTGTTTACAACTGACGACACAAACAGAAACACATGCATCCACCTTTCCTCTCTGGCCCCGTTTGAAAAACAACTTGTCACCAATCTAGACGTAAAAATGTATCCATACTTACAATTAATCAATTGTGTAAACTCTATTGTTAAATCCTGCTTTTTTCAGCTGAGGAGACTCTCCAAGTTAAACCTCATCCTGTCAAAAAGAAATCTGGAGACAGTAATTCATGCGTTCATTACATCCAGGCTGGATAACTGCAATGCTCTGCTGTGTGGAATCAGCCAGTCCTCCATTGCTCGTTTACAAATGGTTCAGAATGCAGCAGCCCAATTTCTAACTGGCACAAGTAAAAGAACATATTACTCCAGTTCTAGCTTCTCTTCACTGGCTTCCAGTTCATTTCAGAATTCACTAAAAGCCTCTCGTATGCCTAAACAACTCTGCCCACTCTTACCTCTCAGATCTAGTGCATCCACTTGTCCCACAGCACTCGGCTGCTTTAAGGTCCCTAACTCTCGTCTTAAACTGAGTGGTGACAGGTCCTTTTCTGCAGCAGGTCCAAAACTGTGGAAAGATCTACCACTACATGYCAGACAGTGTCCTTCCCTCACTGTCTTCAAGTCTCGCTTAAAAACACACTACTACTCTCTTGCCTGAGTGAGATGTTGCAAAACCTCACTGTGTATCATAACTCTGTTCAATTTGTGCTGTAATTATAAATGCCTCATATTTGTAATCCAGTGAAATTTTAGCTGTTGTTTATCTATTGTACAGCACTTTGGTTGGCCTTGTGCTGTTTTAAGTGCTTTATAAATAAAAGTGGTATGGAATTGTATCCTACAAATGTAGCTTGAATTATTTTATTGTAGAAATGCACAATTCAGTACCAGATTTATCTGCAATTTATAATGCACCATGCCCAAAAATCACATTAAGTGTTAACAAAAATCACAATAAGTGCTTAAACACCTGTTGCTGCAACATAATTTACAGTCAAAGTTTTAGACTGTTACTTTTCATTGTAATTACTCAACTGTATAAGTGTAAGTGTAAATGAATTCATGCAAATTGTTGTTTGAGTTGGTGTTTTAAATTTTGTTTTTAGTTTTTTGTGTTTTCACTTGTTTTGATTTTTGTTGTAGTTTTCTTTTGAACATATTTTGGG